CGAGGAGCTGGTTGAAAATCTTGTTGTTGACCGTATGAGTTACCAACGGTACGAATAAGTGGTACAGCATCTTGTTGTTGACCGTATGAGTTATCAACAGCACGAACTAATGGTTGATCTTGAACGACTGTTTGTACTTGTTGTTGACCATATGAGTTACCAACAGCACGGACTAATGGTTGATCTTGAAGGATTGGTTGTACTTGTTGTTGACCATATGAGTTATCAATGGTACGAATAAGTGGTACAACATCTTGTTGTTGACCGTAAGAGTTACCAACAGCACGAACTAATGGTTGATCTTGAACGATTGGTTGGACTTGTTGTTGACCATATGAGTTACCCAAGGTACGAATAAGTGGTTTAAGAGCACTGGATCGTGTGTAGTCAGACCATTGATTGGCAGTATCATCAAAGCTTGTAAGTGGACCTTGTCGATCACTTACAGCCAATTTTTGTTGAATTACTGGTCGTGAACCGATTTCTTGTTTTTTAAAGAATGAATAACCACCACCTAATGTATCGACAAGTTGAGTATCATCTTGTTGAATTCTGAAACGGTTTAAGAATAAAATAGATATATAGACATCAAATAAATTTAGGAAATATATACGTGGTAACGGGTACTGAATTTTGACCATATTGTTGTAATGGTTCTTGTCGTGTAGTGAATGCTCGTTGTGAGTTGTAATCTATAATATTGGAATAAATAATATTAATAAGTATCTTTGCATTTCATCTTATTTTCTTTTTACTTACTATTATATGGTGCTGCTGAGCAAAGTGCTATGAAAGCGACATACAAGATGGCCTAAAAAAGGAATGATAATGTTTTTATGAAAAGTTTTATACTGATAACTTACGCGATGCATTATTTGTAATCTGTATTCTAATACTGTTTTCAAAAAATGAAGTAAGAAGATACAAATAAAATGTATTCTTTTATATCGTTCTTTATACAATGAACTAGATATTAACTTATGCGATCACGAATAGAATAGATGGATCTCTTTCGATATAAAGCAGCGATGTTAAAACATTCTAGGTGTTAACGCGACCATATACGAATATTAACACATTCCAGGTATTGACGGGACTATATATGAATATATACTAGGTTTTTTCTTTTGTGTTCTTCGTTGTGATTACTTTATTCATTCGATTAACTTTTTCGAATATCCAGGGTTGCGATATATCACATGATAATCATTATACCAAATGACATAGTTTATGTTATGGATTAATGTACTTTTTTTGAATGTTACACAAAAATGAATTAATTAACAATACATATATTTTAAGAAGGGAAATTTAATGAAATCAATAATTGGAATAGCTTTACTTATTTTTACTAAGTAGTAATATGAACGCCGAGTACATTTGGTTTGCATGTGACGTCAAAGGTTACTACGGTCGATTTTTATAATAAATTCATAAATCAGCAATCGGTCATTGAACATTTAAAACAATCTGTATAAATAACTCATTGTCTGATTCGAGAACTAACTCCATCTTATTAAATAATCGTATGAAAACTAGATTTTCAGGAACTACAGCTAATATTAATAAATAAGCATGTTATATATGTGCTATAGCATCAGATGGTTAATCGTAATCTATATGTATGATCAATTAGTATATATGAATATTAAAATTTTGCGTGAATCTGCCATTTTGTTACCAGCAATATGATCTTATATTTATACATAAAAATAGTGTGAATAAAAATTTCCATTTGTTGCTTGAATATATACATATGGATCTAAAAAAAAGTATTCTTTTATGAAGACATATATTGATCGGTTCGATTCGATCAATATTATTACAAGATATGTCATCTTACTGATTATCTTTAGACAATATACGAGACAAAATAATAATGTATACTATTTTTCATGCAAAAATTTTCGTTTTATTTAAATACAATTTGTTTTTCGGTCAAAATCATATTCATTATTATAATTAAACACCGATCCAGTTCTATATCTACTTTATTTTTATATCAATGTTTTACTCGTCACCTTTAAACATGTAACAATATGAATCAAATTATAACGAAATACATTAATTGACGTTTTATAAACGAAACAATGGTAAAACTACAAAAAAAAGAAGAAGAATGAACCTACACGATTGTTTTCTTTATTATCGCAAAGTGTTAATTTCTTAAAAGATTTTAGTAATTTCTTCGTCAAGACCACCACTAGCACGTGATTCAACAGCCACTTGATTATCTCGGGACTCGGCTTTACCAGATAATCTTATACGTACATTAACAAATTTATTATTAGGAACACGAGCCTAGAAACAAACAAAAAAAAAGCTAAATATTTAAAATGAAGAAATATTATTAATTTACTTTAAAAAAATATGTTTTAGTTCCTTCAATATCTAAAATAGACATTTTTAATGGTACCATTAGAAAAGTAGCAGGGATTGGAAAACCTATGAAATAAATTATTTTATTTAATTTTTTCATTATATTTATTCATACATTTTTGTGCTTTAGCTTCAATAGCATTTCTATACTAAATTAAATTAAATTAAATTAAAAGAAAATTTTATAATTTAAATATATCTACATCTTCCCATAATTCTCGTGCATCATGTGTAACAGGAACTAATGGTGGAATATGATGTTGAGGTGCACTAAAACGGAAAAAAAAATGATATATAATTTTAAGAGATTCTATAAAAAATATATATATATTATTCACCTTTGTCCATCACCCTCTGTTCGAGTGTTCGATACATCTGTTGAGGACATTTCAAATCTAAAAATAAAGATAATAAATATCTTTTTTTATTGCATATGTCAGTTTGTACTCTGTGATAATGAATATGTGAACGAGTACATCGTCTGTTTTTTTGTTAAGTGTTTTCAAGCACAAATTATACGAATTCACACGGTAGATATTTCGTTCTGTTCTTTTTTTTTCTTCTTTTAATGACTATAGTAAATCGAAATTGTCTGTTTAACGGCCATGAATAAGAAACCAAAAAGAGGGTAAAATACGAAACTTATGCGTGCCACAATATATCGGACACGTGCGATCTCTATCGGCGATGAGGCCTAAGAAAAGAATAACATCACATTTTTCATATTCACTCAGTCGAAAATATCAGATAGAAATAATAGTTCACAATGAAATTTCATGTAAATATAAATACAAGATAATATTTTTAAACATACAGACGATGATGAATATGGTTATTATTTTTTTATTTAATTAAATTACAACTATAGCAAAAGGATGTCTTATATTTCTCAGAACTATACGATCTGAAATTGTTATGTATGATAATAGAACAAATTGAATTGATACAAATATCTCATTTCAGTTTCGAAACTAATAAATGAATCATTTCACTCGACTGTCTTGATGTAAAAATAGTTTCTTTTGATTACACTGACACGTAGAAATTTTTAAAACAAGTAATTTGTACAAAATAAATATTCTATTTTGAAAATAGTTTCAATAATTCATATTACACCATAGGTTCTACTCAATAATTATATCAGTAATATGCTGTTGCATAAGGACATATCACTCGGAAGTACTAGAGGAAATTGCCAATTACTCAGTTCGACAACTTGATTCTATCTTGTAATGAATACAATGGATTCAAAACTGTTTGTCAAATTGGATTCCAAAAATAATCTGTAATTCGTTTTTTTTATAATAATAGAGATCTAAGATTATCTTCAATCAAATCTAAAACATATATAATTATTTGTAATGTCAAATTTCTAAATATACACTACAAATAAATTGATTTTATATTTATATAACATACTTATTTGATCTAAATGTATTTTCTAGTAAGTTTCCATTGATTAAATTAATAGAGATTATTATTTTATATGATTAGTAGATAAATATGCTTCTGTTTTTAGCCAATCTAATGTTGCAAAACAATCGATGAAATACTAAGAACAAAACATCGACTTTTTTATTTCATTAAAAAGATAGTGCAACCAATTATCTATTGTTATATAAATAAATAGTTCTCTTATGCTGAATGTTTCAAAACTTATGACTCTAAATGGAGTCATTGTTCTATAATTACTCAAGTCATAATATATGAAAATGCTCATGTGGTCAAATTTGTCATAATTAAGTAGAATGGATATCATTGCATCTTTTTTAAAGCAAATGTACCATATAAAATAATACTAACCATTTAAGTCTGTAATGTCAAGAACTTATTTCAATTATTCCTTAATACCGAATAACCTGTCAGGAAATTGTACTGTAAGAAAACGTGATTATATTTTACCTAGTACTTATCCACGTGACGTCAAGGTGTAAATACCGCCAGCGCCTGTTTCCATCAGAAAAAAACAACCCACACAGTGAAATATATAATTAAATCAAAATGTATGTACAGGGTCATCGTGCACTATGAAACATGTAGAATATCTTAATGTTTATTTCTAAATAATTTACTATATTTATAGATAACCGACTACATATCTCTTACAAAAATATGTTTTGTTGACAATTGTTTTTCTTCGCAAAATATTATTAGAGTAGTGCATTATTTTCTTAACATTTAGCAACGTTTTAATAACATTATATCATGATCATATGATCTTTCTTTTCTTTTTGTGTACACATCGATAAAGCTGAGAAAGTCATCGATATTATACAATGAGTATTTCAATCATATGTATAAAAATGTATAGCATCAAACGGCATTTCACACTCATTAGAAAGAGGAACGAATGAATACACCAGATTGTATACCTATTTGAACTTATTGAAAAATAGTCAATGAAAGAAAATTAAAAATGTACACAGCTTGTTGACAGGACTAATATGTCAATGAAACATAGATAACTTTTCAATTAACGAACAACTAGAATGATTGTTTATCTTTGACTAATGAAGTGTAATAGAGTTAGATGTGTCAATTTGTTTTCCATATTGTCTTTTGTTACAACTAGACATCAAACAATTTTTTTTAGCAAAAAAGAAAAGTTTTCAAAGACTTGCTTTTGTAATCCCATGGATTGAAAAAAAATGAATTCAATTTTTCCATATCGTTTTTTAAAAATCAAGTCTTTTGTTCATTAATTCAAAATAAGACCTCTGATTACTAAAGAAATATTTTACAAGCATAATTTTAATGATCTTTATAACAGTAATTGTGCAAGATTTTGTTCGATGCTCTTAATCCGAATTGTTATTAGAAGAAATGATAAGACGATTATCTCTCTAATTGATCATTATTAATCATGGATAAAGATAAATGAATTAGATTTTACAAATCTCATCAGTAAGATTTATACAAAACATTATTTGTTTAGTATTTCGATGAAATCCTTTTTTTTTCTTTTTCAAAATAAATGTTTTTAACACCTAAAGTTTAAACATTCGATTTGTTCCAGCTTGTACACACCAGCAGATAATTTCGTCATCGCGAACTATACATCTTCTTTTTTTCTTTTCAAGCTGTTGATGATGTTCAAAATAGACAAGACATAATTGACGAAACAAAAAGAAATGACTATTGGTCAATATCATTCTAATTGAAAGAGAGAATTGTTTCTGTTGGTTGAATTGAAATAAGAAAAGTAGAGAAAAATCATTTCGAAAAAGATATATAAGATCAATTACTTTAATGTTCACGTTCATTTTCTAATTCAAATATATTTTTCATTTGTAGAAAAACAAGAACAAGCAGATAATATGTCAACATACTCAGGCCCACCATCAGGTAATCCATACTGGTATTATGATCCTCATGGATATCAACCAAATGTTAGTGTATCATTCAATACAAATATTTCAGGTTTGTGTTTTTGAAAGATAATTGAAAATTTATTAAAATTAATCTCTTTCTATTTTTTTAGTTAATACACCACCACCATCTCATCCATCATTTGATATGTATAATAATAGTAATAATAATAGTCGATTTGCTGATTCTGGTTATCTTTCTCGAACACCTACACCACCCACACCTATACGTAATCCATCACCACAACCTATGCCAACAAGACAAGAATATGATGATGATGGTATGCTCAGTTGAATAATTAGTTTATTTTATAATTCCTTTCGATTTTTATAGAAAATGATACAAAAACCTCAAATGAAGCTAAACCACGTTTACCCTATGTAAAACGTACAAGAATTCAATATACACTTCAACAAGTAATTTGATAATTATTACTCGTCATAACATTATGTAATTGTTTTGTAATTTAGTTACAAACCTTGGAAGAAGCATTTCAACATAATCATTATCCAGAAGTAACAACTGTTGATGCGTTGGCAGAATTACTCGATGTTCGACATGAAAAAATATCAGTAAGCTATTCTTTGTACTAGACAAAAAGGTTAATATTCTCATTTTTTTTAATAATTAGATCTGGTTTCAAAATCGACGATCACGTTTCAAGAGACAACAGAAACCAAAAGCTACATCATCAACAAATGATGTAACTAAAAAACTCACGGTACATTTTTTTGCTTACGAAAAATAATTAAGTATGTTTAACAATAATATTTTTCTTATTTAGCATTCAGTTCCAGTACAATCAACTGTATCATCACCATCCTATGATCCATCAACTTCGTATTATCCACCCTATTTTTGGCCGTCGCCAGTTGTGGATAGTCGATCAATAGGAACGTATTCGATGAACTCGCATACTCC